AAGAATGTGATTAATTCATAAAATGGCTTAATAAAAAAATATTAATAATTAAATATTTAGATTTATATAATAAATTTATTATAAAAATATTATTGATTTAAAATTTAAAAAATTATAAAAGGAGATACATAAAGATATAAAGATTTACATATTGGACAAGACTAGGCTTTGTAGATCTAATTCGATTCTGAAACATTTTAAACCGATATTTTATGACCCTACCATTTTCAGCAAAGATTACATGTACAACATTTTATATTTTTTAAATAAAATAATATTTCGCATAGTCGAATTCTCCAATAGCCTAAACTCTTTGAAACCGGACTAATCGAGGACTTTAACACCGCAAAACAATAAACTGAAGAAAAATAGATTTGATTTTATAAAGCAGTAATGCTGTAATGCAGGATCTACCTAAAGAACCTCAGATTTTAAAACAAGAGTATAGAAATTTTCGTATTATTTTATTTGTATTGTATAAAGAATAATTTATTTTTAGAAAATTAATTTCTGTACGAATTTTTAAGAAATTATTTTTATTTTAGGTTGGTTTAAAATTTACAAACCGTACAATAATGAATCCGCACTGATCGAAGTCCTATAATTCAAGTTATAGTTGTATAAAGGAGAATTATGTATTTTTTCTTAAATTAAATAGTTTATTTTAATAATAATTCATCACTGATAAAAGTATATTTTTTCTGTAAATTATTTAATAAATGTTACAGAATATTATGGAATTTTCGTCTGTACGTCAAACGAAGATGAACTATGATGAAACACATGTTTGCTCGTTTATCACGATCATTTTTATATTTAATGAAGTAATTTAATTCTCTGTTTTCGTTCAATCCAAATATTAACATCTCATTGCTTACATTAAATGCTTTATTATTAATTTTATCAGTTTTTAATGACTGTATGTAAATTACAGACAGATTATTTAATCACTTGCTCTTTGCATTAAGATAATCAAATACATTTAAATAACAGTTCAAAATGTATACGAACATCTTCTGATTTTCACTTTTCATTAGATTTAATTTCAGCAAAGCTACCAACATACATTTCTTGAGTCGTAGCACGTATAAAATGGGGTAATATTAATTAATTAATTGAAGAAAAAATAATGTTACTACTTTCCAAATAATATTATTTATTTTTCAAGAAATACATTAGAGAATGGTATAAAAAAAACGTAAAACAAAATATACTTTAAACGGTCCAATTTAAGCAACTAGTTTCTCAGGATGAACCAATGGTTTAATTTTCATTTTTTGAAGCATAATAAAATCAAAAATATGTTTTGGTCTATTCACCATATTGTGTCGACTCAAAAATGACTTTGTAATAAGTCTGCTTCCTCACTTTTTCATGAAAAATACAAATTTGGTTTGTTTACTTATAGTAATGGATAAGAGCCTTTTATACTATTATTACTATTTTGGACGAAGGGCCAAATTACGCGGGTAAATTAAGAAATTAGTTAAGGGTTTATTACCTCTTCTTATCTTATATCATTGCTTACACTACGTTATTTAAACCTATACTCTACCATCCGTGCTTAACTCCCAAGAGGCAGCTTTCCTAGCTAACGTAATGATGTACATTGTTGCGCTCTAACAATTACATATTTAGAATTTTAAACAAATAGTTTTTGAATGATTTTATGCGCAGGATAGAGGAGCCTCAAATCTTAAAAATGGGCCCACGACAACCTTAATGAACCGACCGTCATCATTTTTTATTGATGTTTAGGGCCCACGGAAAATATTTAGAATTCAAAAATACATATGGGTCTCAAACTTGAATTGCGTGTGGGGCCACTCAAATGCTAAATCCGCTACTGCCTACAATTTCATAAATCTAAGGGAATTATTTGCTATAGTTGTCAAGTACAAAAAAATACAGAAATCAAAGATACTATGATCGCAGCATACATCAATTATACTAATATGTAAAGTAAATCTTTGTTCTCCTTAATTCAGAAACTCCTAAACCCAACACAGTTTTAGACAACTTTGTTTACTGAATGAAAATTAAACCATTAGTTCATCCTCAGAAACCAGTTGCTTTAATTGGACCGTTTAACGTATATTTGGTTTTACGTTTTTTTTTATACCATTCTCAAATGTATTCCTTGAAAAATAAATAACATTATTTGGAAAGTAGTAACATTATTTTTTCTTCAATCAACATAGGATGGTATATTTTTACAAACCAAATTAAATGGTAATTCTTCTACCCAATACATGCGTTAGTTAGATAACTAATTTGTTGTTATATCTCATTTTTATTTGTATATCCATCATCTCTTCTTAATTTATACGTATTGAAAATTAATTTTCAATTACAACAAAATATATTTTTTAAATAACAATAATAGTAATATAATGGTAATAATGTAAACTGCGGAATTCGCAACAGTAAACCAAATGCAATTTAAAATCCCATCGGCTGTCTGAAATGCAATACAATTAATTGTGCGATCGCTCGCGCAATATCAAACAATAACACAGGGGTGAGGGAGTCACGGAATTAATAACGAATTCTCTATCCGGACGGCGTGGAATTGTAATTGAAATTAATTGCGTTCCGAAATGTATTTAAAAAAAAATGCCTCGCAATTATAATAACCAACATGCGTTATTTTTACGCAGTATTTATTTATATAGCCAAAAATGTAGAAGAAATACAGCCAAAATAATAATAAAAAAAAATCGTAATCGTCTTTGAAATCATAGTTTTTTTTTCAATTATATCCATTAAATAGTTACGTTTTACTTATTTGTAATATAATTCATTTAATTATTCAAAATTAATTATTAATAATTAATTAATCAGAATTTTTTTGACAATAAAGTTTATTTTTTGAAAATTAGTTACTAAAATAGTAGCAACTGATTATTAGAAGAGTTTTAAATAGAATCTTCACATTTATTTGAAAAATAATTTCTTATGAAAATTTTGAACAAAATCATATTTAAAATGTTATTAATCTTTATTGTTTTTTTCTAACCACTTTTTATTTATAATGCATATATTTATTAGTAAATTCGAAAAATGATTTCAAATCTTTAAATTTTATGTATTAATACAATTGCATCAAAACAAAATCATTTTTAAATGAAAATTTACATTAATTCATAAATGTAACTGTAACAAATATTTAATTGCTATTGAAATTGTATTGTTTTTAATAATTAAGTGTTAATCACAATTCATTGATAACTATTATTGATATCTTTATGTATTGTTTTTGTAGCATTTGCATAAGTTTAAAGCGAAGTATCGATTAAAAAGGTTGACTTACATAGGTAAGTGATTCCCAAGTCCATTAAAACTTTATTAAGAAGTGTTTATAAGAGCATTGCAAGAGTAGTTTTGCTGTGCATACATGTTTTTGCAAGCATCTCCGTTCCGAGCGTTTAGCGCTAATGAACGCCAAAACAAAGAGCCCTTTTGACTGCATTCAAATACTTTGGAGCGAAGCACCTAAGTTCGTGGACCCGTTGCATCTTTCCCCCAGAGATAGTCTCATCCCGCCGCTGCGTTTATCGCGCATATAGATTCAAATTTCTGAATCGCAAGAATTAAGAAATACATCCTCAAGTTTCCTAACGACGCTTTCCTCCATACAGGCAACTTTTAATAACATCCTCAATAGCTTCAAATTTTGCATAAGCATACATAAATTCACTACAGCTTTAAGTTAATTGATTTTTCTTTTGCAAACGTTGTTGTTTCAAACCTAATATTTTCCACCAAAATTCTTTAGTTGATTACTTCTTTTTGAAAAATTTAAACTCAATTATTTCATAATAATTGTTATTTTTTTTATCTATTTTAAATATTTTTACTTTGATGTATATTTTTTCGCAGTAAACTATTTGACATTTGACATTTTATACCTGGTCAAAGCAATTATGTAATTTTTGGAAAAAAATATACCTGCAAACAAAATAAAAATTTACAATGGACAATAAAAAAATGTACCCTCATATTATTTCTTGGAAAAAGTATATTGAATAGAGGCAATAATTAAATTGCAATTAAATTATTTATAAACATCATAAAGTTTAAGGAAACTATAGTATATATAAGAAGCAGAAGTTACAAAACTTAGTTACAAATATTTTGACGTTGAAGCTGAACATGTCACGTTTTCCAAATCTGTTAGTAAAACTGAATACTTTAAAGATTGGTGCGAGGGCAAACATGTATAAATTCCATAACAAAATGAAGAATCGAAAGAATCAATGGAAATTATATAAAATCGTAGAAGAAATGAGAACAAGTCTCTTGAATGATTCCGAAGAAGTGTCAGAAAACCCGGTAATAGCAAACTGGTGGAACGAGAGATGTCAGATGGAAAACAGAAACTGGAACTATTTACACCTAATTTCGGTAGATATGGATAAACTTATTAATAATTTTGTAAAGGCTTTAACGGAAGAAGAAATTGATGATAATGAAGTAGAGCAAAACGAGAAAGTGGTAAATTCTTGGTTAAAAGATACAATATTTTCTGCGAACGTTATTGCCAACGATCTTGTGACGATGACGAAAAACGATAGGATTATCCTGGAGGAAGGTATGACCCAAGATGAGTTAATTGAGAGCTTACTCGAACATGATTTAAAGTTTGTTGATTTCCATGAAAAATTCATGGATTTGCAGACCTTACTCGAGAAACTCTTTGAACAAGGACAGATTTCTTTATAAGTTGTAAGGAAATTTCAGTGATCCCTTATTTATATGCAATTAGTAGTTAATTAAGAAGATAAAAATAACAAAAATACAGTAAGTTAATTACAACGACTGAATGATCTAAATTATTTGAGAGAAATTGTTCACACGAAATCGTTCTTTCTTAAAAGTAAATGATTAAATTTAGGAACTGAAATTTGTAAAAAAAAATTGTAAAATTTTCTTTTTTATTATCATTTGTAAATATCGAAAAATATAATCATATCAATTCATAGTTCAACGTACATTTACAACTATCCGACTTGTGACCTATTTTTAAATATTGTGCAGTTTATTTATTAGAACTTTAACATTAAAATGGAAGAGACAGTAGGCACGAAACAGGTATAATGACAATGAAATTAATAGTGTCAAATATTTTAATTACTAAATTTAAATTAGTATTAGTAATTAATAATTAATAAAAATTGTAATCATTATGAGATATTAATAGAAAATGTAATTATTGTAGGTTAGATTCAACTTATTGATGATGTCTACATCAATTAACGTGTTTAGGGTTGTCAAGGTAATTAAGGAACGAACGAAAGAACGAGAATACTGTAATATCGTAGAGCAAAATAAAATGAAATATTTCTACGATCCGTACCTATATGCAAATTTTGTTAGATATACTACAGACAATGAGGAGACAAGGGCCTGGTGGAACGATAGATACCACGCAGAAAATAATTGCTGGAACTGTTTACACAGAATTGCGGAAGACATGAGAGATATTTTTCTTAGAATTAAATATATATTTATGAGTGAAGGTCATAAGAGAGCATTTATGGCATTATATTACAAGGAACCATTCTGGCATTTGGTCAAAACATTGAAAGAAAGTATGGAAATTGCGAACAACCATAAGGATACATTGAAGATGAACATGACCCACTACGAGTTACTTCAGAAAATGCGCGAGCAAGACTATGTGATTAATGACTTCTATGATAAAATACTGGATGTACAGAAATACTTCCAGATTCTTTCTAAATTGATACGACCTATTATGGAAGATTTCGAGCAGAAACGTGCTGATCTCCAAACTCATATTGATTTAACTTTGTAACATTTCCTTTAAAACATATTATTAACAGAATATTCCTATTTTAGTATAACTATATTGTAAGTTATAATGTTAAAATAGAAAATGACTATGTCTTATATTGTATTGTTCTTTCTAATTAATATATTATAAAAGGCATTAAGCTTGATTTGAAATAATAAAGTTATTATTTACATTTTATTATTATGTAATACAATTCCTACCTACCTAATTATTACTTCTAACGATTAATATATTATTATGAATATTTATTCTTTATTTGTAGTTTGCAAAATGTGGTAAAACATCTTAGTATTATAGTCAACCCACGTTGCTTAACTTTTGTAATTTTGTAAATAAAGATACTTAAAATTGTATAATTCGAATTTATATTTTTAGTTATATAAAAAAGGATTATAAAACTGTCATGTATCTGCTATTGAAATGTTGTTAATAATATTAATAGAAATTATACCCCTTCCACCGATGGTATCACTTATCTTCATACTGTGATACTGCTTAGTATATAAAAAAGATAGTATAATCGAATAGATATCAGTACAAATTTAGCTATTGAATTATAAATAACGATCTAGAATCAAAATGTGCCATATTCAAGCAATGTACGAAATTCTTCAAGGGATGTCCATATTTTTGGAACAAAGTTGTAACAAAATTCGCAAAGAAATGTTGAATCGTTTAGAACAGTACTATATTCGCATACATATGGAAAATTACCAAAATGAACTGATCAACTCCGGACTCATACAATGTAAAATGGATAACCCCATGACGATTGAGTGGTTACATACATCAGTAAATTGGGAAATCAACTTTTGGAATAACATGGCTAGGGAGATTGACGGGATGCGGAAAGCATTCTTGTGTGCTATGAATGCTATTAGACTGCAAGTGGAGGCTGATCCTGAGAAGGAAAATGAATTAAAGGAAATAATGGAGATATGGATGAATAAACTGTACTTAATACTAAAAAACTTGGATGAGCATGAGAATTTTTCGAGAGATATAATGAATACCAGCGTGGATGAGACTATGCATATAGAAGAGTTGCATTGTCAGTTGGCTAAAAACGATAATAAATGCACTAGCCTGTTGTACAAAATTGTAGAGATTGCTGATCAGACTAATAACGTAATCAAAGAAGCTATGGGTATATTAAATAAAATAGAAACTAAGTGATTCTAGACAATATATTTCTTTAAAAATAAACTAATTTTCAACAGCTGCAAGCGATATTTAAAAAAATGTACTAGATATTTTATAAAAATGATGTGTTTGTCAAAAATAATAATTGTAAAATTATAGTTTATAGTATAGAAAAAAATGATAATTTATCATGTTTTATGTATTTTTTTTAAATTTATAATTTTTCTATAAAAATATTATGTATTTTATTAATTATTAATTTGTGAATAAAGATAAACAAAATTTCCATGAATCAAAAATATTTTCATACCTTAATATGGGCGACTAATAGCCGAATGGTTAAGTCGCCCTACCCACCACCACCACCCTCTCCCATCCAACACCATCACTCCTCTCCTACATAAACAATTGATAAGGCCCTAGAGGTTTAATATATTTTTAATGCATTTTAGATAAAATAAAGGGTTTTTCCCACGCAAATTTTCCCTCTAATATAGAAATAGTTGTATATATGTACTAACAACCACAGTTTAAAAAAAAAATCTTAAGTATCCTAAACACTCCAAATGTAAATAATTGCTTCGGCAATTATCTCCATAATATTGTTGAAAGTGTAAGAAATATAAACCGATGCAAACCCAAAACAACGATGTTGAAAGATTTGTAATAAGATAAATGTTTGTACCCTTGCAAATTTGTAAAAGGGTCAATAATTATGTTTGTAAATAAAGTTATTTTTGAATTTGAATTTGAATTTGTCCTACCCACGTGCCAGTGGACACAGGTTCAAATCCTGGTCAAGCCAGGCCCTTTGTGAGCCCTCTCGGTGATTGCAACAATAGGGCCATCGTTCATCACAGATGAACAGTCAAATGAATGAGGTTCAACAGATTCACAGTGAAAGGAAATAGTGGAATCGTAGAGCATCAATATACTACTGAAGTTAACCTACAAAACGACAGTCAACCAACAAATTAAAAAAATCAAATCATCACTATCCACCGGGAAAGATTACCGCAATCTTAAATTTACTCAATGTTCACATTGATGAACAGATTGTGAAGCAACTTATACGACATAAAAAATATCCTTAATATATTTTCTTCATTCAAATATTACTCTGTATTAAAAAAAAACTTTTGTATAGTAGTTGTTATTATCATTGATTATAGACGACATCTATATAAAACTTTATCAGATTTACAAAGTTAGGTGAGTTGGGTCTTCTGAAAAACTGTAATTATTGATCTATTATGGAATATTCGATACTTGAGTTTCTAAAAATGAATTTCTCTGTCAGATATATCAACTGCCATTGTCATGTAGTCTCATAAGTTAGTATTCCTGATAAACATGTATGTGTCATATAAGGTATGATTTAATGATGTGTAATGGTTGATCTTCTTCTTTCCACCACCCTTCTAATTTAGCTTGTGCCGCACACAATTTTACCAGTTTCCGTAGAAAGTGAATGTAAGATATAATATAGGGTGGTAAAATAACCAATTTTCTAAACCGGGCCTCTGCGGTTCTGTACTCTTGGACTAGGTTGAGTCTAGGAAAGTAATGGTTGATATACTAGAGAATCTTTCAGTTCAATGACAGTTTTGTTCTTGTCTAAGAACGTAGACTACACCTACGCCCAAATATGAATATATCTGCCAGATAGACTAATTGCTATTGTTTATCATGTACTTAGATGAGTATGTTCTTCTGATCTGTAATGACTTATATAGCAGAGAATCGTCATATTTTCGCATCTTTCCTAATATGAATATCTGTTATTTATGTCTCATGTCAGATATAGTGTGCAAGCATTTAATATGATTTAATGATCTGTAATCATTGATCTAAGTAACAAAAAACGTTAACAAAGTACGAAATGTACATGTCATATGTCAAGCGTTTTTTTTTTGTTATTTTGATCCTTTGTTTGAACCGTTGAGGGTCGGTGCGGAATTGGCTGCTCGAAGGGCGTCAATTTAATACAGTTGTCAGTTTTTGCGTGGGCGACGAAGATTTGCGAAATGAGGCGGTTCAAGTAGTTTCTGCAGTAATTCGGGCATTAGTTCGTTGGCATAATAAATCACCGGCATGGGAGACGTGTGAAACGTCCGTCGTTATTCATACATTTGCTTTCGGTGTCCATAAGCTCAATTTCCCTTCTGCATGACGTGTCCCGAGACTTTAATGTGTGTTTGGAATTAAGGGAGTCGGAATTCGGCGGCCGGCACCACCCCAAACCCTCTCACTCACCCTCACACACACACACACAGCCATTGTACTATAAATTTTAGCAGAAATGTAACTCCAAACTTTGTACACGGACTCCTTTTTTTTAAAACCCGCGGGGATTTAGTGTTTTATATTCAGGAATATGTATATTCATACACGCGAAAAAAAATATATTAACAGAAGAACGAAAAAAAAAACAATAATAAAAAAAAGATTGCGGAAGGTATGTTCGCATGGAGGGGAGCGGCAGAAACATTACGGAGCGCGCTTTTTAATTGGCGGAATTAAATTTTATACAGGCTTAATTTGGCTTTCATGGAATGCCTCCACATTTTCCTCCCCGCTGGGTTTGCGAAATCTTGTCTGCTATTGCATAAACATGCGTTCATATAGAAACGTTTTATGTTTGTAATGCTGCAACCATACTATCCGTTATATGAGACATTCTAGTCTGTACGGCATACTAACTTCATATTTTGTAAATTATCTCTAGTGCGCATGTAACATATTTTTGTTAATATTAAATAGAAGCATGTTTATTAGGTAATTCAATTCTTGAACAACTTTTCGAAAATCACAAAAAAACCAAACGTACATGAAAAAAAAACTTTAGTTCAGACTTGTTACTTATGAATCTGTATTCTACTATACTTCAAATTATTCTTAATAGGAAAAATATATTTGATTACCAAATATAATCAATAATAACACATTGCTTAACTTTTTTAACTTATGCAACTTTTTGTCAAATGGAAATTTAGACATACCTATTCAGATTACTTAATGTCTACAGTATTGTTTTTCGATTCGTTTTAACGTACGTTCGATTATATTAATATGATTATGTATGTTCTTCTTACTGCGCTAACCTACATATATTTAAGCATTGTATATTTATATAATAACCATTTCAATAATGTTTATTAGGTAATTCAATTCTTGAACAACTTTTTGAAAATCACAAAAAGAACAAACGTACATGAAAAATAAAAACTTTAGTTCAGACTTGTTACTTATGAATCTGTATTCTACTAAACTTCAAATTATTCTTAATAGGAAAAATGTATATGATTACCAAATACAATCAATAATAACACATTGATTAACGTTTGTAACTTATGCAACTTTTTGTCAAATGGAAATTTAGTCATACCTATTCAGATTACTTAATGTCTGCAGTATTGTTTTTCGATTCGTTTTAATGTACGTTCGATTATATTTATATGATTATGTATGTTCCTCTTACCGCACTAACGTACACATATTTAAGAATTGTATCTTTATATAATAACCATTTCAATAATGTTTATTAGGTAATTCAATTCTTAAACAACTTTTCGAAAATATCAAAAAACAAACGTGCATAAAAAATAAAAACATTATTTCAGACTTGTTACTTATGAATCTGTATTCTACTATACTTCAAATTATTCTTAAGAGGAAAAATATATTTGATTACCAAATACAATCAATAATAACACATTGCTTAACTTTTGTAACTTATGCAACTTTTTGTCAAATGGAAATTTAGTCATTCCTATTCAGATTACTTAATGTCTGCAGTATTGTTTTTCGATTCGTTAAACGTACGTTAAACGTTCGATTATATTTATATGATTATGTATGTTCCTCTTACCGCACTAACGTACACATATTTAAGCATTGTATATTTATATAATAACCATTTCAATAATGTTTATTAGGTAATTGAATTCTTGAACAACTTTTCGAAAATCACAAAAAAACAAACGTACATG